TATAGTGGGATCATATTTTATACTATTTGTACTGTTATGTAATTTGCTCTTACATTCCTTAATAAGTGGACATCTTACGTATCAGTAATTAAAGATCTACCTCATTCTTCTTTGTGACTATATGCAATATTTCATTTATGGATGTATCGTAACTCACTTAACCAATCCCCTTCTGTTAGACATTTGGGCTGTTTCCAGTCTTTCACTGGTATAAATACCCATGCAGTGAACACCTTGTACATAGATCTCTGTGCCCTTGTAGAAATGTTTTTGCGGAAAAATCCCTTAAAATGGAGTTGCTGAGTCAGAGGGTGTGAACATTTAAAATCACAGTTATTTCCATATTATTCTTTCTGAAAGAGTTGTACCTCAACGCTACAGTTCTGAGTTTATGCCTCTCCTCTGGCACTGCCTTGGCTTACAGTGGTCAGTCTGTCCCTGAGACTATGAACTCCAGGGAGGTAGATGTAGTGTCTTGTTTGTGGCTGTGTTCTGCATCCTAGCACAATGCCTGTTGCACAGTAGGCACCTAATAAATACTTGTTAAGTGAATGGGTATGGGAATGAGGACATTGACAGTGAATGTGAGAGAAGGCCGTGGTGTCGAGAAGAGTAAATTATTGGTGGCTTTGAGAGTGTGGGCTTAGTGAGTGTTAGGTATTTGTCAGTGCCCCTTGCACATGGGGGAGTCCACACCCCTCACTCTCCAAGGCGGGCTTCTAGCCACTTCTCCAAGTACATCTCGGACCCCTTTTCTCTTCTGTCCTCCAGCTGTACTTTCTGGGATTCTTTACAAAACATTTTCCCTTTCTGCCATCCTTTCTTTGCCTGGAAACCCTTCCACTTTCAAGATGCTGCTCAGAAGCCACTCAACTCTCCTACAAAGCTTTTTCTCTCAGGCAGGGGTTAGTGTCTTTGTCCTATGTCCCTACTGTGTTGATCAATGAGAACACTGCTTTGTTTGGTCATGTGTCTTTCACCCCCTAAGGTTGAGAGCACTTTAATGGCAGGGTTGTGTCTCCCAGATTTGCATATTTGTAATGCCAGGCCTTCTCGCTGGGTAGGAATGAATGAATGATGAACAGATAGATGGACAGACAAGAACAGGAGTCAAAATGGACTATTGTTGTGGTTGTGTAGGTGTGAGATGCTGTGAACCTTGGTTGGGGTGGTGGCTTTAGAAAAGGAAAAGAAGGAAGAACCAAAGGGACTAGGTAAAAGGGATGTGGGGCCTGAGGGAAGGAAGAGTCACAAAATGGAGGCCCCGCCAAGGGAAGTGGAGAGCCAGAAGGGGAAGCTGGCTTAGGGAAGGGGAAGGGTCGTTCAGTCTGGATATGTGGAGTCGAGGGCCTATTGATGGGACTTCTAAGTGAGGAGATTCAGCTGACAGCACAGATGTCACTCTTGGAGCTGAGCAAGGTGCCAGAGCTACAGATGGTGAAGAGCTACCATTGGCCTAGAAATGAGAAGGGATAAAGGCAGAGCAGAGGGCTGGGTCTGGGTCTTCCATGGGTGACTCCACATTTATAGGAGGCAGGAGAAAAAAGGGCCAGCCTAAAACAGAGTTGTCAGAAGTAGCACCAACCTGGTCATGGAAGCTGAGGGATTTGAGAACATCCAGACTGCAAAGGCCAAAGAGTAGAGAGGGAGGCCTCTGACTTTGGAAAAAGGCATTTAGGGGCCTTTAGAGTGGGCTGCTTCTCTGGAGAGGAGGATCAGGAGCCAGGCTGAAGTAGGTGAAGTGTGGAGGACACAGAGAGGAAGCTCAGGTCCAGGGCTGGCTCAAGGCCTTTGTAGAGGAAAGGGAGGGAGCATCACTGGGACTTGTGAGTCATTTCCCCTCCAGGGGGAGGACTGAGGGCCTCTGAGTGGAGTCTGTGTACCCGATGGAGATGGAAGGGCATTCTAGTTACTCATTGGAATTTCCAGCCAACTGGGATGGGGTGGAGTAGAGATGCCATGGATATTCAGGGAGTAGCTTCTGAGAGGTTTCAGGGTTTCAGGGTTTGGGTATCAGTCCTGCCATGCTGGATAGGGATGTAAGGAATGGAAATGGAGAGCCTCTAAAGGCGCCTCGTGCTCCCTTGGGTGGGGGAACGGACACAGGAGGGGCCCTTGTGCTTTGAGGCCCTTTTCCCATGCCACCTGCTTGTCTGACCGTGGGGGTAGCCCATCCCATGCACTTAGATCCTGCAGGATGGGAGACAGAAACTATGGCACTGAGCCCTGGGCTGGCACACTTGTGTGCTGGGGAATGCCAGGCCTGGTTGTTCCCAAGCCCTGGGAACAGACTCACCCGCCCAAACCAAATGAGGAATTGTAGCTGAAAGGGCCCTTCAGATGTGCCCTGGCTATTTATAACCCAGCTAGGGCAGGGACAGGGGAAAACCAAGGACTGAGGGAGAGGGTGGGGTATGAGGTGGCATGTGCCTCTGTGGAACCCTGTCAGCCCTGAGGCCCCAGAGAGCCTACCCTATATACCTGTGTTTCCACTTCGGTGACAGGGAGCTACCTGTCACTGGTAAGGACAGGTTCTCTGCTTAATAGAATGGCAGGAGCCCCACCTAGAGCTTAGAGCATTCACAGACTTTTGGGGGGAGTTGGGATAAGAAACCATGTCCATTCTCCTTTTCCCTCCTCTCTGCTCCTCAACCCTCCACCCATCTTGAAGGCTCAGCCAAGGACTCTGTTTTCAGCCGAGGTGCCCCGTGGAAAGGAGAGCCAGGTGGGCCAAGGATGGTACGCGTTTGACTCTCCAAGGTGCCCCGTGGAAAGGAGAGGCGATGACACCAGGTGGGCCAAGGATGGTACGCGTTTGACTCTCTTTGGAACTCATTTCCAAATGAGTTCCAAAGAGTTTGACTCTTCCCCCTGTGGCCACAGGTGTGCCACCTGACAGAGGATGTGACATGCATTAGGAGGCTGGTGGTAGACACACAAGAAACTGATGGGGCTATATCACTAAGAGCCACAGTTGGCTAGTCCTGGTAACTGTACTGGGAGAATTGTGAGCTAGAAGCATCAGGAAGATTTCAAGGGAATCCTTGGGTGGAAATATGGTTGGTAGGGGGAGGAGATTGGGAGGGGAAAGTTGGCTTGAGTGGGGCTGGAGCTTCAGGGCTTACCACTTGGAATCTTGAGTTTTCACTTGATCTACCTAGTTGGTGGCACATATTATACAGGTTTACAAAGATAAGTGATGGGCTGGTAGTATGTGAAGCTGAATTTGATTCCGAAATGCCAGGTCCAATGAGGAAAAGGGATAGAGGGGCTATTCAGGGAACCCCCACCCTCCACCCCCACACTACTCCTATCTTTCCCTCAAAGAAACAACCAGCTGCAAGAAGGCAGCAACCTTGTCTGTGGGCCTAATTCAGTGCACAGATGCATTTTATTTAGACCGCACCATTTTTTTAAAAAATGTAATTTAACTGCCATCATTTTAAAATAGAGAGCTATCACCTAATAATTCAGATTTCCAGCTTCTCTTGAACAATCCAAGATGGGACAACCTTGACCCTGCAATGCCCCTGGCAGCCGTCAGCTGGAGCTGAGTGGTGGTTTCTTCAGTTCACCCAGTCCTCACCCGGCTCACTTCACTGATCTTATCTACACCATCATGGGTGCCGGAGTTTGCAACAACTTTGCCCTAGGTGTTGTATTGTAAAGAGCTTTTCTTTACAATAGAACCAAGCTCCCCTCTCTCGTGAGAGTGGATGGATGTCCATCTCTGGATCCCGGCTAGGGAACCAGAATGTGCTGTTCACCCTCTGGATTCGTAACTGTTCAGATTCGTAACCGTTCAAGCAGCCAAGGGAAGCAGGCTGGAGGTGGGCAGGGCTGATCCTGCTCCCTGTCCTGGGTCATGTGCACCCTCTCCTGTGGAGTTGGCTGTACTGGGCTGCAGACTCTCTTGAGAGAAAAGAGCCCCAGGGAAGTAGTATTGCTAATCTCCGCAGCATCTGTGAGTAGGAAATGTGGAACCTCCAGCCGTCCAAGGTGGTTCTGCTGCAGACCTTGGCCGGCAGTGTGCTGTTGTGGCGAAGCGAGTCAGGCCTTCTCTGCACAAAGCCTTGTTCCCCCAACCCTGGTGGGGGCTGGAAACTGGCTTCTCACCAGGCCTTGGCTTCCCCTCTGTGAAGTGTCAGGACCTGAGGCAGAGGTGAGAAGGAGACTGAGGCTTGTGGGGATCCCAAGGTGACACTAAGGTTGGCCCTGGTCGTCCGCGAGGCTGTGTAGGCAGCTGCTCCTCCGCTCCTCCCCCTGCAGGCTTGCCGGGCTCTGGAGAGGGGCTGTAAATAAAGCCTGTCTCTGGGAAGCAGACCTCCCCCTGCGACCGGCCCGTTTGCGGCCTCCTCGCCCCTCCTCCGCGCTCCAGCAGCCTCTGCCAGCCGGCTGGCTGGGTGACCACAGAGAGGGAAGGGCTCCACCTCGCAAGTGAAGTCGTGCATTTCCTGTGTATTAATAGCAAACGCGAACCTCAGAGCCTATAAAGGGCGGGATCGCCGGGGTCGGCGGTGGCGGGGCGCCGGGACCGACCTCGGGAGCGGCAAAAAAAAAGTGCCCCGCCTGCGCCCGGCCCGCGCACACAGCAGGAAGGGCCCGGTGGCCGCGCAGGGGCGCCTCTTGCTCCCTGCTCCGCCCGCGCGCGCCTTCCTCCACTGACAGCCCTGACATCAAGGCGGCGGCGGCAGCGGCGGCGCGGAGCTCCACAGAGAGGCGGCCGAGGCCTGCGGGGCTGCCCTGGAGGACCCGCTTCCCCTTTCTCAGGGCGGAGACGCGCGCGGGGCGGGCCCGCAGCCCAGGGCGATTCTATTTCCTGCCGGTTTGCTACACTGACCCTCCGGCAGCAGCAGGAGGGGAGCCTGCAGCAGCCTTAGCAGCAGCAGCAGAGTGAAAGTGATTAACACCCTGAGCTCCACCTACCGCCTGAGTCTCTGTGGGCTCATTTCTCCAGCATGACCTCCCCTTGCTGTCTCGCTGCTGCTGCTGCTGCTGCGGCGGCAACGGCTGCTGCTGCTGCTGCTGCTGCGTGGACCCTGCTTCCTGTTTGCCCTCCGCGGCTCGGGCTGCAATGGAAGAGGAAGAGGAGGCAATAGGCTTTTTGGACAAGGTTCTAGAGGATGAAGATGTGTTTCTTCTGGAGGAATGCGAGCTGGGAACCCCGACCAGCCCTGGCTCAGGGTCCCCCTTCTTGGTGGCTGTGAAGGTGGGAATGTGACACGCCCTGGATGCTTGTCGGGGGAGGGGGCAGGGCTATCAGCTCTCTACTGCAGAAACTGTGTGAAGCTGTGTGCGAGCAGAAATGGCTGATTGGTGCACAAACCTCACTCAGTCTGAGAGAGGCTGTCGCATTACTGCGAGGGGACGACGTGAGGGGCTGTGCTCTCTGGCAGCTGTTCCTGAGGGAAAAGGGCTGTGCCTGCCTCCTCCCCTGGACCAGTTGTCCTCAGGGGGAGTGGCCGTTGGCTTTCCCCAGGCCAGCTGTGCTGGGGGCTTTCTCTGGCAGTGACATGAGTCACCTGGTGGGCAGGTCAGTGGTGTGAGACTGCTGCCCCAGAGGAGCTGGCTGACTTGAAACCAGGAGGCTATAATTCATTGTTTCCATGGTAACAGTGGGATAAGTGCACTTATGAAGTTCAGGCCAAGGGGGCCACTCTTTTCTTAGCAACGAGACTTAGTGAATCTGGGCTAAAGCAAGAGAACATTTGGAGAGAGAGCAAACCAGAGGTCACTGAGCTTCCTTGAAGGAAAAGAATTGGATCCACTGAAGAGGGGGAGGTGATAGCTGGCTTTGAGGCAGGAGCCATGTGGATAGACACTTTTCCTAAGGTGGGCATAGGCAGGAAGCATCTGCTGGCCCCCAGCCCACCCACTCTGGGGCAGTGGGCACTCTTAACAGCAATACCCCTGTCCTGTCAGAGAAGTCGCCTTGAAGGTAGAGCAGGAGAGGAGTGGCTTCAATCCCTTCCCTTCTCTTCGCCTCCTCCCCAGGGGCCGGGCTTCCCCTTAAAACCACACTAGTGCTGCCTAAGGAACGGCACACCAAACCGGTCTTTCTTTCTCCTAAGCTCACTTCTAAGAGTTCTAACCTCAGCCTTTTTCTCACCTCTTTTCTGTTCTGTGGCCAGAAGGGAGGGCTAGTTAGAAATTATGGCAGGGAGTTTGCAGACTGCAAGCCAGGCTGCCTAACAGAGAGCACTCATGTATGGGCCCCAGGCCTGTCTGCCCAGGCAACACTGCACACCAGCGGGCTTGTGCACAGAGCATTGCTGTGGGCAGGAGGCTGTCACTGAGCCTCCCTGGGCCTCTGTGTCTCTCCGGTAAGGTGGGGAGCATAGCCCTGCCCTACTCACGCTACAGTGTGGTTCTGAGGAGGAGCTAGTAGAGGTAAAAATAGATTGCAGGCCAAGGGATTGGCTGGGAGCTCAGTAGTGTGTGCCACGGAAGTATGTGGGGTTCCTAATGGGCATTCTCTGAGGAACTCTTCCTAGCAGGGATGGGGTCCTGCTCATATGCTGCTGTGTGGGTCCACCCTTACCCTGGACTCTGGCTTATACCTCGGTCTTAGCCCATATTTCACTCTGCTTGGAACTCTAGATGTCTCCCTCCTCGAGTATATCCTAGTCTTCTTGAGGGCAAGGGCCACGTTGTATTCATTGTGGAATGCTGCACAGTGCTTGGTGCTTGACTGGTGCCCTGTGAATCTGTGGAATGAGGCCTGCAGAAGGTTTACCATGTCCCTGCCTTGTTCCATCTCAGGTGTTCTAAGAAGGCAGCACATGGATGCCAAGGGGTCCTGGTCACATATCACCCCTAAAAATGCTGCTCCTCCCAGATCCCTATGAATCTTCCCCTTTACCTTGCTGCCTCAGTGTTTCTGGACATGTCTCCAGTGTCGGGGGAGAGGACCTTTTCTGAGTGTTGGAGAATTGCAGGCCTCCTGTCTCACGCTGAACACCTCTAGGATGCCTTTTTCCTCTCCCAGGCTTGGCCAGCTGTAGAGGGAGAAGACAAACAGGGTGGTTGCAGAGAGGTGGTAAGAAAGCTCGTTTATTCACTCAGCAGACAATCAGGTTGTGTTCTATTCAAAGCACTCTGCCTGGCACGGGGGAGGAGATGAGATGAGAGGAGATGAGATGGTCCTTTCTCACAAAGAATTGACAGTTCAGGGCAAGGGGGCAAGTGCACAGATAATAGGAGTATAACAAGAAAGTAGTCAGGGCCATGAGAAGGGTTCTCATAAAAGGGGACTAAGTTCAGAGGAGGAGAGAGAGACCACTTCTGGTTGAATCAGGGCTGACTGGATGCATGTGTGTGCACGTGTACATGTGTGTGTGCCTGTGTGTGGTCAAGGGACATTTCTGGAGGGTGTGCTCCTGCCCTGGGCTGTGGATGGTCTTGGCACACTCTTACAAGATACTCTTCTCAGCAGCTGGTGGGAATCCAAGACAGTTTTCTCTCTGCTATTACTTTACTTCAAGAGTACTTACCTTAAACAGTCATTGTGTTCCTGAGCCTGTGTCCAGATGCCAGTCCTATAAATCAATCTGGTTTTCAGTGTAATTTCTGAGATGCTTCATCTTCCTGAGGGACAGATGTGAAGATGACAGTGGTTTTCTCCAGAGCTGGGACTGGAGCTTGCCATGTCCTTCAACCCGTACTTCCCTTTGAGAAGTTAATAATCAATAGACTAGTAATAACAAAATACCAATAGCAGCATCACCTCCCATCTGCAAAGTACTGTATACTTTCCAAGTCTTTCATACAATTCTATTTAAGATTCGTAGAGCCGATAGGGGCCTTGCTATATAAAAGCTGCTATTTAAGGGAACTCATTTGTTAGGAATAAAAATCCTTTTGTAATGCACATTAACCCTTCAGGTGTTACTCTGTGCCAGCTTTTAATGGATTGTCTGAAATGCCTATATTTCTGTGTCACCTGCTCCAGTCTCCCTCCAAAATCAGTGATGGTCATGCCTGTGTCCCCAATTTGGGTGTTTTCCCCAAGTGGGGGCCACATATGTGATGATTTGAGAGGTGATTTTTAGGCGGCACCTGGATATATATTTTGCACTTTAATAGTTAGGTATATCTTTTAATGTATATTATAAAAAATATGATTCGTCCATCTTTCCAATAAGTTCAAATGTCATACATGGGATAGGGCTGTGTTTTTAAGAAGACAGTTGTGGTTAAGAAACAATATTAAGTAAATAATAGTGTAGGTGGTATATGAGTATGACAAAACTGCACAGTTGCGATATGAACAACTGAAGTTTGGAAACTCTGCTGGGTGCCATGGGACCTGCCAGGGAGGGATCCACTCTTCAGCAGAGTGGGGCAGCTAGAATTTGGGCTTTGTCCCCCAGCAGTTGCCCCTGTCCTTTTGGCTCTATATTTTGCTAAAGAATTAACTGAAAGGTACATCCCTGGTGCCTAGCGGTGAGAAGAGAAGGAGTAGCTTGATGTCCCTTCATTGTCTCAACTTAGGGAGGCGCCAGCTGACTTGAGGATGATGCTTGGCATAGACACAGCCCCTGGACCCAGTAGCATCTACCCCGAACAGACCCAAATAGTATGCTCCTTGCAAACTGATGTGGCCCGTGAGCTGAATTCTGCTATCTATGGAGCCGCTTGGCCTAAAGCTCTGAATCACAGGCAGCACAGCCTGTTCAGTCTTCATTATTGTCTTGGAGGAAAGCAAAGCTCCTGGATAGATTGTGTCTTGGCTTGGCCTGGAACCAAACTTTGGAGGCTTTATTTAGCCCTACTGTAGTAGACCAGCCAGAGCTGGCTAAGCCTTACTTGTAGATACTGTCCCTACCAGAGTGACCTGACCTCTTGGATTTGGGGACCTCAAGCTGACAGACTTTCAGCCTGGCAGATTGTGTAAAATGCTAGGAAGGAATGAACCCACAGCAGCTGTGTTTCATAAGCTCCACTTGGGGAGAAAGTGGGACAGTGTCACTGAGAAGGCAGCTTTCCTGTGCTGGGAGACTAGCAAGGAGCATGGCATAGGCTGTGGGACCCTGAACCCTTAGAGAACTCACTGGGGATTCTGGGCATGTGGGTACCTCTGGAGGGCTCTTTGGGGGCAGAGACTGTCTCCCTCACTTGTATTCCCAGTGCCTGGCACCTAATGGGGAGTGAATGAATGAATGTTGAGCCCTGACATTTATGATAATAAATGATAAGAATAGCCCCATAAGGAGTCAAGAAACAATTGTGAATTTCCAGATAATTCTACACTAGGAACATATAGAGTCTGAAGACAGTAAAGAAAAGATAGAAGAGATTTTTGGTGGTAACTGAGAACAGGCCTCCTATGGTAAAATGACACAATTTAATTTCACATCCTTTCACATCACCTCCACCCTCATGCCAGCCAAAACAGTGACTGTGGCCTAGAGTGGGGGAGAATCTCGAGGGTGACTCATTATTGCCTTTTGGGGAGCCCTTTCAAGATGGGACTCTGAGGTGGGAGTCTCTTGAGGAGAGGATCTTGGTGAAATGGGCTGACACAGGGGTCGGTGCTCATGGCAGGTGGATGAAGGCCTGGAGGGAGCTGCAAATCACCAGGCCATCACCCTGGTCCTAGTCCAACCAGCTCTACAGTTAAGCTCAGTGTGCCCCAAGTGACTTCTAGGTCCTCAGGCAAATCCTTGGTTGCAGGGAATAGGAGGAGTAGGGGGCACAACAGGGGAGCATTGACCCCAACATGGAGGGTGAGTTCCCATCTGTCAGCTGGAGAAGCAGCAGCCTTTGTGTGATGTGCAAGGAGGTCTCTTCGAGTAGCCTTGAGGGGCCCTGCTCTAAGCTCTGATCTTCCTGGGAGGGCATGCTGCCCATCCGTAATGCAGACAGCTTCAGGTAGCTGGCAGTTTCTACTCTCTGTGACTCAGGAAATAATGATAACACCTTCCAGATTGTGGGATTCCAATGAATTAATCCATGGAAAGTGCTTAGAACAGTGCTGGGTTCTTGTGAAGCCATCAATAATAAGTAACTATTGTCCTCTAAAGCTTGGCGTCCATACCTGTTTCCTAATGCTGCTGAAACAAATTACCACACATTTAGTGGCTTAAAACAACACAAAATTTATTCACTTACATACAAGTCTACAAAAGTCAGCAGGGCTGCATTCCTTCTGGAAGCTCTAGGGAAAAGAATCTGTTTGCTTGCCTTTTCCGGCTTCTAGAGGCCTCCTCTATTCCTTGGCTCATGGCCCCACCCTCTGTCTTCAAAGTTAGCAATGCAGCATCTTCCAATCTTGCAATCAATCTCTCCCCCTCCATTTCCCCTTCTATGGTCACATCACCTTTTCTCTGACCCTCTTGCTTCCCTCTCATAGGACCTTGGTGATACATAGGGTCCACGTGGATAGTCCAGGATAATCTTCCCATCTAAAAATCTTTAACTTAGTCATATTGGCAAAGTCTCTTTTGCCATATAAGAGAACATATTCACAAGTTTGGGGGATTAAGATGTGGACCTCTTTGGCAAGACATTGTTCTTCTATCACAGGGTCAGATACTGGTTTAGAGACTTGGCCAGGGGCGCCGGGTGGGGGAGCAGCAGCCTACAACACATATCTACTAACTGGCTTGCTAATGAAAGGCCAAGGATAAAGTTCCCAGGAAAGGGTGGGAAAGCTTGTGAGAACACGAGCGCTGGGGCAGGGAAAGCAGCTAGGGGAAAGCTGCTCTTCTCAGGACTTGGAAAATTCCCGATGGCTTCATACGCTCTCCCAGTCTATGCTTGGGGTGTGCATTTGATGCCCGGAGAGGACTCTGTTTGAGATTCCAGGTAAACAGCTGATGTTTGAAAAGGGGACTTGAGAGAGGAAATTATCAGAGCAGTGGAAAAGCATGGAATTTGGTGTTCAAAGACTGGAGAGGAATCTCAGCTCTGCTTCTTCTTAGCTTTGTGACCTTGGGCTAGTCCCTTCCCTCTTTTAATTCTTGTTTGTTTCCATTTGTTTATAGTACCCACCTCAATGAGGCATTTGAGGGCCAAATCAGAGAGTGGAAAGGACTTAACAAGGCTTAATTAATGTTAGCTACCCACATGTTAGGGGTATCACGTGGCGCCGGGCTTCAGGGAAGTACACAGGAGTGTGATGCAGGTGCTTCAAAGGCCCTGCGAAATCACCGGTCAGGTAACGAGATAGGGCACATGTCAGGATTGAGGGGCAGTGCCACAGAGTCCTGTGAGAGCTGACACCGCAGGCCAGAACCTTCAGCTGTGCCTGCAAGGAGAGGTGGGATTCAGACAGGACAAGAGCTAGGGTGGGAGAAGGCATTTTAGGCTGCAGGGATAACAAGAACCAAAGTTCCCAGGCTGAAACACTCCTGGCATATTAGGAAGACAAAGAGATCTAATGGCTGTGAGGAGATTAAAAGGGTAGGGAGAGGCACTAGGAGCCACTGAAGGTATTTAAGTAAAGAATAGACTGGACACCGCCCATATCACAATTTATATTTGTTTAGTGTTTTTTGTTTTTTGTTTTTTAACTTCTTTTTCTCCCATTAGATTATAAGCCACATGAGAGTAGAGACTACTGTATCCTTTTTTTCTGTTGTATCTATAGGGTCAGGTGGCCATTCAGTAAATATTTGTTGAATGAATAAATAAATGAACAAATAACCTAACCGAATCCCCAGATAATCAGATTTTGCTGTACTGCTGTTATGACCTTGGTAGTATCAGGTGAAAGGTGGCGTTCTCAAGATTAACCTGGCTCTGGTGTGTGGAGCAGAGGGAGGGGAGAGAGGCAGAGGTCAGTTAGAAGAATCAGACTGCAGAGTGGGATGCTGTGGGTCTCGACAACAGCGGAGGGGTTGGGTGGAACCGAAGGGAAGTCTTGGTAACAGATCAGCAAGATGGGCATTCAAGGCTAAATGAGGCATGATCTTCGCCACAGCAGAGATGGGAGGTGGGAGGAGACCATTTTGGATCTGTGCATTATACAGTGAGTGAGGCAGTCAGGAAATGCTCGTGGATGGTGCGAGGGGTAAGGTTGAGGGCCCTACAGTTAGCCCTTTCCATTGTGGGATGGAAAGGACAGGTGAGCCCCCTCAAGGACAGGAAGATATAGTCAGTGGTATAGCAAGAAGGCCACATGGCTGGGGTTCCCATGGCCACTTTCATCTCGTTCTTTCTGTCCCTACTCTCAGTTTATACATTACTTCCTCTGGGAGCCTCCTCTGGCTCCTGCTGTGCCCTCTGATGTGACCATGCCCTGCCTCTCTAATGACTGTGATTTCTCTTCTTAACTGTGTTCCCCCATTAAATTGCCCTCACACACGAGGCCAGGTCCTTCATTGTCTTGCTCACTATAAGATTGAGTAGGTGGGTGGGTGAGTGGGTGGGTGGATGGATGGATGAACTGGTATAAAATAAAGGAATGTGAATAAGGGTTGGGAGGGAAAGCAAGATGTTAGCAGTAGGAATATGGGTGATTGCTTTTCCTTTGATATTTCTGTGTTTGCCAGATTTTCTGTAATAAGTATATTTGGCTTTTATCCCCGACAAAAATGTTAGTTAAAGAAAAGATAAAAGGCAAGAAAACTGGCCATTCGGGATTCTGGCCTTCTTTCTCATGAGCTTTTGGCTTTTGGTTTGCTTTCATACAGGTGGAAGCAGGGAAGGGCCTAGAGATGAGGAAGCTGGTCCTCTCAGGGTTCCTGGCCAGTGAAGAGATCTACATTAACCAGCTGGAAGCCCTGTTGCTGGTGAGTATATGCTCTGGCCTTCTTGTCAGACAGTGTCGTGATCTAAAACTGCTTTTGGAGTTTGAAAGGAAGGAGGACCTGGACCAGTCCTCTGGTCCACGGACTCTGTGGTACTGCTCTGCTTACAGCTTGGCATCAGGCAGCCAGAGGCATTGCCAAAAAGGGACTGTGCCTCTCGGCGCCAACTCTCTGTTGACTGTCCTGGGAAAGGCAGGAGAAGCAGCACAACCAGGTTGGGGGTGGCAAACACTCCATCACCCGGGACCATGGCGTCGGCATTACTTATGGATCTGTCTGGTGGGGGCCTAGCCATTGCCTCCACACTGAGCTCTGGGAGTCTCTATCTGTCAATCAAGTTGAGACCTCTTTGTCATCCCTGGTTGTGGTCCTTCCTCCTTCCTGGAACCGTTTGCACCATCCCAAGGCACTGTGGCAGGAAGTGTGAGGTGAGGGGCTGTCTGTGCCGCTTCAAGACATGCCACAGTTCTGAGGTATCAGACCAACCCCAGCCGTCTGTGAAGGTACCTCAGTTTCCTCTCCAAGATGGAGACATTGTTGTAAGAATCAGACTGGGAGGAGAATATTATTAAAATATTTTTAAAAGGAAGTCCTATACAGATGTAAGACATTTTTGCCTTTGAAGAAAAGGCTTATTAGATGGGTCTGGAGATTATGCAGAGTGATCATGGCCTGTAAAGTTCTCTCCCTAGGTGTTTTGCAGTCTGAGACATAAGATGATATAAAGGAAGTATAAGAAATGTAGTTGTAGGTCAGTAGAAACTAATTCTTACAAGAATTGTGAAATACACATTTGCATACTTATACAATGTTGTCGCCCAGTGTCCCAGGGGATTGGGGATCTGTTATTAGCCAAGGAATAACTATTGAAATGTGCGGATACTTTGCAACACACCAAACTGAGTCAGTGGTGGATCTCGCCGGGAGTTTATTGGAAGGTACAGTAATGTTTTTCAAGGCAGGAACAGTATGGTAGGTAAACAAGGACTCCGGTCTGGGCTCAGAAGGAGGTCAAGACTTGATTGCCATGAATAGTAGACTTGTTGCACTGTTTTACGAACTGTGCATCTCGACCATTAGTGGGTCTCGACAACAGCAGAGGGGTTGGGTGGAACAGAAGGGAAGAGTCTTGGTAAGATCAGCAAGATGAGCATTCAAGGCTGAACGAGGCGGTAGGTTGAACCGGCATTTAAAAACAAATGAGAAAGAAAATATCGACATGTATCACACATATTAAGTACCATTTCATGAAACTTCGTTTTGTTGTATGTTTGTGTATGTACTGGTCCATATTATTTCTTACATGTGGTAGAGTTTGAAAACCACTGGCTTTGGGCAAGCCACGTATAACCTCCTTGAGCCTCAGTTTCCTCATATGAGGATGAAAATAATACCATTATCTTCTCCCTTTTCTTCACGGGGTTGGGAAGACCAGGTGATCCTTTTTGGAACCTAGTACAATGCCAGGTGCTTATGCACTGAAGGAAGGAGGCAGGCAGATGACTGGTCAGACACATGTGAAATACACCTTATAAACTATGAGTTACTGTGCCAAAAGAAGAGGGGGTGGTAATTGTTATTACTAAAAGGATGAATATTTGAAAGAAGTTCAAACAAAGGAACCGGAGGGCCCGGTTTTGAATCCCCCCCTTGACCACTTACCGGCTCTAGGCCTTCCGCAGTTTAATGAACCTGCAGATTAATGAAACTTCGTGCCTCATTTTCCTCTTATGCACACTGGGTATACTGATATTAGTACAGCAGGTCCTCATTATAATGTTGATAAGATGAGAAACTTAATTCTTATTTATATCAATTAGCCAATGGTAAATTGGTTTCGCTTAAAGTCGCAGAACCTATCGACGACATTGAGAACTTACTGTATTCTGTTCATGAGGCCGTTGTGAGGATTATATATAAGTTTGTATGAAGCTCTTAGAACTCAGCCAGAGTGTTAGCTGATACTATCATTTTCTCCGGTGTGGTGGTGTGGTGCCGGGAGAGAATGCAGGTTAGGGCCTGTTTGTCTCTGTCAACACACCCTTTCCCTGAGGAAATGGGAGGTGCATGTCCCCATCAAAGCCTGCCACTCTCAGATTCCAACTTGCTGTTCTCATCTGTCATTGGGCCTAACTTGAATTTCCGTTTGTCAGGGCAGAGATAACAACAGATTTAGGGGTGAAGACACTCCCTCCTTGCCTGCCTCATACCGGACAGCTCATACCCCAAAGGCAAAAACTGTGAGCCTGGGCCTCCCCTCTCCCCCACAGCTTGTTCACCCTGGGCTCTTGATTGGTTCTTTCTTGGGATGAGGCAAGAGCAAGGGAAA